ACCCAAAACTCTGCGAACATGTCTGCCAGAGCTCCTTCCAAGACTTTGAACACGGTGGTCGCAGGGGCCTGAGTGCGTCTTTCCCCGAGCAAACCTTCAGGTTGTTCAGTTATGACACCCACACACAGAACTATTTATCACGGCAGCTTTACACCCCACTTATAACAATACTGATTGAAAAGGGCTTTAGATAAGAAGGAAAAGGGAGCGCAATTGACTTTTCAGCACATCGGTAAACGAGAGCAGAGAAGAATGGCTTTTCATAGGGGAGAGAGAGAGAGATTTCTTTTGTCAAAAAAGCGAGCTGCACCAAAAGTATCCTGGCGTTACAGATTTCCCAGGAACAAAGGACTACATAAAAGAAGAAAGAAGCCAGTATTGTAGTTCCTGGGTTAATCTGATGTCTGATACGAACCTTCTTCAAAGAGCCTAAATAATGTTGTTGTTTCCTTGCCTTGTCATGTTTACTTTATGTCTCCTTTTGCTTTTTTTGGTAGCCAAGCTGCAGAAAAAAAGCTAAGATGTGTGCTTTAAGTGGGTGATGTGTGCTTTAACTGGGTGATGTGTGCTTTAACTGGATCACCACTGGACAACTGCGATCCGCTCGGTGCGGCTCGCCTTTGAAACATGTCTGGAAACATCCTCTGGTCTAGGAGGCTGTGAGCAGTCTGTTAGAGGAGTGTTTGTTTATTTATTATATTTATACCCTTACGTGGGCTGAGAGTCTGGGATTGGCCCAAAGTCTCCCAGCTGGCTCCACTGCACCAGACTGACTCCCACAGGTGACTTCCTTCGCTCTTACCACTTCCCTGGCTTGCAGTCTTCTCCAGGAGCCAATTCAACAGATCGGGTATGATCTGAAGTTCCACATCGGAATTGCCGAACCTCTTTCAGGGATCGGAGTAGCTCTCGGGTTGAACTTCACTGACAGATGGGACTGAGAAGACCACAAATATCAAAACACGCCTGCATGTTTTAGCTTGCAGCTCTTAAGCCTAGGGAAGTGTAATTCATGGAAGATGGAAAAGCTACTGCAAAGACCTGAACATCACCCAGCTAGGGATGAGGGGAAGGGATGGTGACCATATAAGGGCTGGGCTGGGACCCCAAGGAGGCCTGATGTGGCCTGTGGAACCGAGGTTCTACACCTCTGCTCTACGTGGTGGGAGACTGATAAGAAAAAGGCATCCCTGTTGCACAGGAGCTTATCTGTTCATTAGTATCTTCCGGAGGAAGTTTACTCTGTGCTCCAGCAACGCCTGAGAAGTAGAGATGAGCAAATGAGTGATGTTCAAGCTCGTCAGATGCCAGCCTGCCCCTCGATTTGCGTTTGCATTTGCATTCACTTTTCATTTTACACGAAAAGGAAAATTGCATAAAATGAACAGCTGCTGAATGCCAGAATTGCACAAGCGATCCCAGACATGCACAAACTTCCAACCACGGGTAGATTTCCTCTCTGGGTAGAAGTGACAGTGATTTAGAATGTGCATATCTGAAGAGCTGTGTGCATTTTGAGAAAGCTTTGCATTTTTCAAGTGCACTTTGTGTTGACATGAGGACACCTTCAGATATTTGCAAGGATTTTCAGAGAAAATGGCGCATTTTCAACTGATTTGTGAGCTAAAATGGGGCTCTTGCGCATCCCTAGAACTGAGTGAGGCTGAGGTGAAGAAGGCATCCCAAGGTCAGCTATACTGTCCCTTCTTAGGGAAATGTGACTTTGAACCTTACACCACTGGGCAAAGACCTTTCTGTTTTGGCAAGCATGTGATCTGCTGAGCTGTTAAGATACTGTTCTGTGAAGTACTCCTTCTGTTTTAAACTCCCCGGCATTTTATCTGTGAAACAGTGGCCTCCTTTTTCTTACCATTTTAACAGTCATATTTAAAATAAGCATTTTATTGTTTTATTATCTTGCTAGCCGTTGTTGTTCTTGTTGTTGATAATATGCTGCCAAGTCCTCTCCAATTTATGGTGACCCCTATGAATGGATGTTCTCCAGATTGGCCTGACTTTGACTTCCCTGCTCAGCTTCTAAGTTCAAGGCAGTGACTTCCTCTGTGAAATCGATCAAGTGCACACTTGGACTTTTCCTTCTGCCTTCCACTTTCCCCAGCCTTACTGTCATCCCCAGGGAATTTTGTCTTCCCATGGTGCTCCCAAGGTATGACATGGTCAGTTTGCTTCCAAAGAAAGTTCTGGCCCGTTTGATGTGGGCCCATCTTTCTGTCATTCCAGGGTGTTTGCAATGTTCTCCTCCAGTTCCATGTTTGGAATGTGTCCTTTTCTTCCTGTTACCTTTCCTCACTGTCCAGTTCTCACATCTATTCATACTGATCAAGAATCCACTAGTGTGGATGATCTTGGCTTAGTCTCCAGTGAAACATTCTTACATTTGACGATCTTTTCTGATTCCTTCATTGCTGCCTTTGTGAGTCTCAGTCTTTTTCTAATTTCTTGGCTACAGTCTTCCTTCAAACTGATGACTGAGCCAAAATATGCTAAATCTTTCACAATTTCAGTTTATTCACTCTTGGCATTAAATTGTGCAATGGTCCTGTTGCTGTGAATTTTGTTTTTGTCGTGTTTAGGTGCAGTTCTTCACTGACTTTCCTCAGGTGTTGTTTCAATTCATTGCTACTCTTTGCCAGTAATATGGGACCGCTTGTATGTCTTAAATTATTCCACCCATTTTCACTCTCTTCCTCTGATCCCAATCCAGCTTTCTTGATGATGTGTTCTGTGACCAGATGGAATAGACAGAGATATCATTCACCCTTCTCGCAGACCTTTGCCTACAAGAAATCTTTCTGTTTCCACCCCCAGAAATGTATTTGCAATATGGTCCCATATTGGAATCCAGCTTGAGCAGCAGGGCATTTCTCATTCAACATCAGGCATGCCATGAGACTCCAAAATTAGTCCCAGGAGAGGCTAACGGGAAGCCCTTTCAAAGTAAAGTACTTGCCACACAAAAATACTAAGAGGAAGTATTTATTGTCTCGCATGCCAGAGGTTAATACCATTCAGAGGTAGTAACAAGAACACCCTTTATGCCCTTTTGGCAGTCTTCATTGTCCTGACTGGTTTAACTCCTGGTAAGACAAAGGAATTTGCATTTGCTTTGGTAAGGTTGCATTTTCTGATAGTCATTCCATCCTTTACCATCAAGCAAACTTTTATCAACAAGCAAGCTTCCTTCTTTTCTATCTCTTGGGAGCAATGACCTTTCACATTCATTAAGATTTTCTCTGTTCAGGCCTAAGCTCTTTGTTAACCTTTCCCTCAACCTTCTGCTTAACCCTTTCCTCACCAGGCTTTTCTCAGTTCTTTGTTGCAACATCTCAAGTACTGTGTTGCTTGCATGGGGAATGAGTGCCGTGGTCCTGCATTCCTTCCCTGAGGTTTGGAAGGTATACTGAACATTTGCAGTGTGTGGAACATGGTTGGTTTTCCCTAAAAGGTAAAGGTTTCCCCTTGACGTTAAGTCCAGCCATGCCTGACTCTTAGGGACGGTGCTTATCTCCGTTTCCTAGCCGAGGGAGCCAGTGTTTGTCTGCAGACAGTCTCCATGGTTGTGTGGCCGGCATGACTAGACACCGAGATGCACGGAACGCTGTTACCTGCCCACCAAAGTGGTACCTTTTTATCTACTTGCATTTGCATGCTTTCGAACTGCAAGGTTGGCAGGAGCTGGACGGAGCAACGGGAACTCACCCTGTTGTGCGACCTTTCGATCAACCAGCCCAGCAGCACAGCAGTTTAACCCACTGCGCCACCTGCCTCCCAGTTTTCCCTATGGGTTGCCATATTCTTCAGGATTGTTTAAAAGGGAGCGGAAGGTATCAATATTTACAATAATAAAGTCTGACTTGAGCTCAGCACCTAAGGACAGATCTTTGTAGGTATCTAAATGAGAAGATGGAGGTCTGGAATTTTAGAATGGACTCTCTCTCTCTCTCTCTCTCTCTCCCCCCACCCCCATATACCAGCCAATAGCTCCCTCTCTTTGGGGGGTTTACAACAATTAATTAAAACCCATCTGAAAATACACCACAGTGTAAAACATTGAGGGGGAAAATGCCATACAAAAATTTAAGAGCACATGCTAAAACTCACATAAAATGCCAATAACTTAAGCAAAATTAAACCTGATGGAACCTGACTAAACAACTAACACAACCCCAGTAAATACATTTAATCCCCTGCAGCAGAGGAAAGCCTTACCCCGGCGCCCAAAAGATAGCAGGCTTGGTGGCAGGTGGGCATCAGTGGGGAAATTGCTCCAGAACGTGGGGAGGGGGCCACCACTGATCAGCCCCTGCTCCTTGTCGCCACCAACCGTGGAGACGGCAGTTGAAGGCAGGCTCCAGACCTTGGCCATAGTGTCCAGCAGATGGTGGTTCGGACAGGCATTCCATCAGGTAATACCTTTCTTACCATGCTCAATGGTACTGCAGCCATCGGGGGTCCAGGAATAGTGTAAGACTTCATACTATATGTGATGACCCAGCAAGATCCCATGTCATGTTTTGCATAGAATTGAATGTGCCTCCCAAATTCTCTGTGATATTGACAGGTACACGATCCAGACCACTTGGCCATCATCTCGTCTCCTGATTGCCCAAACTGTCCTTCAGACTATGCATGAACAGACAGATGTGGCTCGAGTCGGCATCTCTTTTTCCTCAAAAGTAGTCAAAAGTAAGGGGGACCTGATCCGGATCGGTGCCCTCGACGTGGTGTAAGGAGTCCCTGGGCTTCCCACTATGCTCACAATCCAGATTTGGTCTCGTGTGTTTTCAGTCTGTACTGACAGACAACGCCCTATTAAAATGAATCAGTCACTGGCCGATGCTAGCTATATTTTTAAAGTCAAGTCTAGTTTTGCACCAAGTGTGGAAGGAATGATGCACTTTCCAACTCGCTCTTTCTCTCTTTCTTCTGTGCTTTAGTAAGCGTCGGAAATGTTGATCAATTTTTCTTTTCATTCACAGGGCACACGATCACGTCATCCAGTGGAAGAGAAGCCAAAGGCGTTGCACATTCGGGCCATGCATCAGTGTCAACGTTGCCGAATAAATTACATTAAAAAGTGTTGTAGCCAATAAACAGTGCAATTATGTAAGAAGGAAAAATAATCTGGTAGTGCCTACTGATTAGTCATTGCGACCGAGTTTGCTTCGGCTGAGGAATAGATGTTTGACCTCTGTATATGGATTTTGCCTTTTCATAATGATTTTCACAAATCCCCTTCTATTATTAAGCGTGGTTCAGCACTGAACTCCAAGGCAGCTCTCATGTGGGTAGTGTAGGATGGAAACAGAGATGTTCTCCGAGCTGATGGACCTGCCAACAGTGGGGGGCGGGGAGGGTTCACAACCTGTGCAAATGAGCTGCATTTCTGAAAATCCAATTTGCATGGGTTCCAGGGATGAGCAGTTCTTTAAAAAAATATCCATAATTTTATTCCAGTTCCAAATAACATGAAAAATGCTGACCAAATCTGGATTTTCCCCATACACTAAGGCATGGCAATGTGCATTTTTCAGGGATTTGTGTCTGTAAGGGGGATTTGCGTATTTTCATGCAAAATCACTTATGAAATGATTTGTGCAAACTCCAAGTCTGTCAATAAGTGGATAATGGAATAAAAACCATCTGACAATCTGGAAAAGGGAAGCGAAATGGATTTTACACCATCCATACTTTCCTAGAAGTGCATAGATCCTGAATTCAGATTCTTGATTCAGTTCTAAATCAAGAGATTAATGGTATGGGGTATTCTTTACTCTTTAGATGGCCAGATACTGAAGATGAAACTCAAAGACTTTGGCCACCTAATAAGAAGGCCAAAAAACTCATTGGAGAAGACCCTGATGCTGGAACGATTGACAGCAAAAGGAGAAGGGAACAGCAGAGGATGAGATGGCTGGATGGGGTCTGTGGGGCAGTGGGTGTGGGCTTGGGTGGACTTCAAGGGGTGGTGGAGGACAGGAAGGCCTGGAGGAGCGCTGTCCATGGGGTTGCGGTGGGTCAGGCACATCTTCACAACTAGCAAGCAAGCATTCTTGACAACCTGTGTAGGGATGTGCCAGGTTCACATGTGTAGGCTTTTCTGTGAATCCATTTTGCTGGCCACACCACCTGCACTGTACAGTTAACAGCCGAACCAAGGGAAAAATAGTTTTCCAGAAAAAATACACATGACAAGCAAATCATAATTCTTTGTAATTACGGAAGAAGGCAATGGAGATGGAGGAGGAGGCCCAAATGGGAGTAGAATTGCTACTCAGTTCTTTCCCTTTCAACCATTTGAGCAAAATCACTGAGCTTCAGCTGATTTTCTCTCCCAGGGCTAAAATTTAAATACAAAATCCTTGTATGTTTGCTATCTGGCAAATGGTTGAAAAAAATTCCTTGGGATTTTGAGCTTGGGGTGCGGGGTGGAATGATTGGAGGGGAAGGTGCTAAAGGAACATTTCACCCAAGTCTCATGGCTCATACAATCTCCTTTTGGTTCAGAAAAAAGAATGAAAAAGTTGAATGGATCATGGAACTCTGTGGTGCAAAGTTTGACATTTGCGGCTTTATGTTGCAATAACACACATGGTTGGTTGACTGACTGGAATACCCTGAATATTCTTACATTAAGTGACAGTTTTGATTAGCACATAGTTTTGCATCACTGGATGCATTTCATTTGGGGAAAGTGGTATAAATTAATGCAATAAGAACAATAACAATAGTAGTAGAGTTCCTATGTGAAAAACGACTAATATTTTCGTCATTAACCAACTGCCAATCTTGCAAAATTCAATAGGGAGGAGAAATGCCCTCTTTCCACACTGGCTTAATGTGAGCATGGTGCAGAAGAGGGAAATAAATGGGTTTTGTAAATCATGTTCGTTTTGATTGGGTGGTTCTGCGATTTGGCATTTCCCGGCCAGACGAAGGAATCTTCCATTACCTAGAACATTCCATTGTGGTGAAATATAGCGCTCACGACTTCCTAGCTGGGCCTCTGCCAGCCATTCAGAGCTTCTTGTTGGAGCATCAAGTCCTGCACACTGATTATGGGACAAGATATTAACTATAATTCAGTAAGCTTGTTCAACAATACTTTATTAACTCACATGATTGTTTGAGTATTGATTTGCACATGACAAGAGTGCATTCATCTTCTAATTTGTCTTACACATTAATTCAGCCATGCCGTTGAGCTGCTGTTTACCCTGCCGATGCTTGAACTCATTGGTGAAAAACGCAAGTTGGCTTGCGTTCCTAACCGAAAATATCTCCACTTTGCAGTCTGCTGTTGCAGGCTTCCTCCAAGAGCTGGCAAGGGAAGGCAGGCAGTTTGCCCAGCTAAAAGCACTGCAGGGAACCTCTGGATAATGTAAATAATTAGAATTACATGAAAGCAGAGAGTGTTCGCAATACTCCAGCTTTGGGGTGCTACCGGGGAGTCGCCAGGGCTTTGACAATGCAGAAGAGGAGGAAATCTTGGCAGAAGTGTGTAGAGCGACCGTCAACTTCTCCCTTCATTTGTTTGTTTGTGTCTATCATGTCTCATAGCCAAAGAGCCCTGGGTGGTTTACAGCAGTTCGTAAAAGCAATGTATTAAAATACTTTATTTGTAAAATGAATATATCAAGTTTTTAAAATAAATTGGAGAAGAGTTAAAACAACACATGGCAGAGAGCAGCCCTGTGAAAATGCTTGGAATGGGTAATTGCTTCAAGTCCTTGGATAGCCCCATAAATCTTTAAAAGTCTCAGCATGAAGGAGATCCAGTCCTGGCACTGAAAAGATGGCAAGGCTGGTGCCAGGAGATCTTCCCATGGATGACGGGGCCATCACAAAGAAGGCCCTCCCTCTTCTTGCCGTCCTCTGTGCCGCCCTCGGACCTGGCACTCAGAGGAAGGGCCCAGTTGTTGAACATAGTGTCCAAGTGGATTGTGGTCAGGAGAGGCTCTGTGCTAAGCGTTATGGTCCCAAGCCATATAATGATCAGAGTTCCATAACAAACTTCACAGATGTATGGAAATGTTCCTGGGTAATAAGGACCGAAGGCTCAGGCCCAGTGGGCCAAATCCAGCTCTCTGGAATTCCGCAGGTCAGCCCACATTTTCCCGGGCCTTCCATTACTAGGTGGCTTCTGAGATAGTGCAGGTTTCCTTTAAAGAAGGAACATCTGGAAGGCTGAAATGCATCTCTGGAGTCTCTGCTACTGGCAGGAGTAACTTCAAGCTACAATATTCTGGCGTTGTTGGTATTTTGGGCCTCTTCTTTTGCCTTTTGCCCCACCCAAGGGTTCCCTGAAGTGGAATTCAGCCTGCAGCCTGCAAAGGGTTCGACATGTCCAGTCTAGATACACCCACAAACCCTCAAAGAGCATCTTTCTTGTGGAATGGGACATGTGATGCTCCAGAGAAGAATCTGGATGGTGAACAATGATAGTCAAGACAATATAAAAATGGAACAGCAGAGAACAGCACAATGCAGCCACATTTTAACAGCTAAAGAACTACAGCCAGGCCATCCTGCTAGGCCTGTTAAAAAAAGAAACACCCCTCACCCGTAGGTGCTATTTGCAGCTGGTATATGCCTCGGCAAGGAGGCATCTTAATCTGGTGCTGAAAGGTTAGTAAAGTCAGTGCTGGGTCAGCCTCTGCATCACACATGCGGGCTAAGACAGAGAAGGGCCCCCTTCATCGGGCATTCTGGTCCCAAGCCGTGTAGGGCTTCCTAGCGTGACACAAGGACCTTCAGTTGAGCTCCAGAGCACCTAGGCAGCCATTCCCAACTTGGATTGTCACTTCTGAAGGATGCCTTCTCTCAGAAACCACCAGGCCAGAATCAGGAAAAGGGAGGTAAGGTCAACCCTTTCCAATTAACATCCATATTTCAGGGCATTCTTCCACTGAGCAGCAGTTTCTGGTGAGTGGCAGCAGCTTTGTCTCATTTGTGGACTCCCAGAACCATCTGTTAGCCACTGTGGGACACACGGTGCTGGACTTTGAGGTGAGACCGAGGGGACTGGGTCTCTTCAGCCTGGAGAAGAGGAGACTCAGAGGGGATCTGTTGGCAACATGCAGGTATGTGAGGGGGTGTCACACGGAGGTGGGGAGAGACCTGTTCTCCCCTGCGGAGGAAGGCAGGACACAAATGGAGTAAAGTTCAGGGAACCCAGCTTCAAACTGGATGCCAGGAGGTACTTCCTGATGGTTAGGATCCCAAGGGTATGAAATGGGCTTTTATGGGAGACGGTTGAGGCCCCGCTGGTGAGGGTGTTCAAGGATAGGCTGGACATGCACATGGTAGGTGTGTCATGAGTGGAGCTGGCTGGAGCTGGGGGTCAGACTAGATGACCCAGGAGGTCCCTTCTGGCTCACTCAGTTTCTATGTTTCCATGACCTTTGGTCTGATCTGGACCCTTGGCTCCTCCTGTTTTCTCCTGAGACCTCTGACCCAGTTCTTTGGATGCCAATCATGTCATCAGCTTACAGCACTCGCAATATCAAATATGCCACCAGATATGTAAAAGATGGCTTCCAGTGTTCTATTTGTGGCGCAGTGAAATCCCCGAGCTGTCAGAGGATGGAAAAACGGCTGGGCCCTCTTCATCTCTTGATTGACTGACATGTTGACACAATGAGTCCCTGCTCCTGCCGGCTCCTATCCCCTAGCTGGATAATTGCATGTTTCACTGAGCCCTACATAAAGGTTATCTCCCTCTGTGTTGTCTTTCCTCCATGACTGCTGTTTCACAAGACACACCATGATAGAAACGAACAGCCCGTTCCCACTGCCTGAGCAGCGAAGGAACTGGTTTGCCCTGGCCTCAGCTGCAGGGAAGTATGTTCCCCCTGCAGAACCTTTCCCTACAAAAGGACCATGACGAACGCAGGCCGTAGCTCAGAAGCAAGTCACATGCTCTGTGTACAGAAGCCTGGGATTTGCAGAACGTATGGATGCAGCATTCGGCACACTGTGCTGTGGATACCCTCCACCCCTCACCAGCACAGCACTGGATGCTCATTTGAGAGCTCCGTACTGGGGGAGAAGCTCTTTGGTGACGAGACCACCACCAGAATTGGAGGAGAAGGACCTTCTTGTGGACAAGGACCCTGGCGTG